AAAAAAAAAAAAAAAAAAAAAAAAAAAAAAAAAAAAAAAAAAAAAAAAAAAAAAAAAAAAAAGTGTGAGAATAAATTTAGAAATAGAAAATTATCAACAATTCATTACCAGACATATTATCAGTTTCTAGCACAATAGAAAATCTTGCTTTTGTTATTTAGTTTGGTCATTGAAAGAAAGGATGGATGAAAAGAGATCGTAAATCAGGGAAGTTTAACTGATAACATGGTCTTTCAAATTCTTATTAATTGCCAAGAAAAGGACTTTTCATTTGGCCGCTTCAGCAATCTAATCATGATTTTGATACAAACTTCTTTACTGTGTAGTAGTGGTTATCTTCGTCATATTGCCATCAATAGGGTATGATTACTTAAGGATATACATTCGGGTTTCTACACCAAATACCCCAAACATTACACCTATCAATATCAAAACACTTTTTTGTATATTCCTAATTGAATCGAAATAGAAACAACTGAAGCTGAAAATGTACAGGTTTAAGTGGCCAATTTTCTAGACATAAACATGTTGAAAAACAACAAAAGTCTGTAAGGAGAAAGAAGTGATTAGTTAAGACAAAAATTTTGGCTATCTATTGTTCATTGAAGTATACTCATTTCTTACCCAAAAAAGAAAAAGAAAGAAAGATGGAAAGAAAGACTAACCTTTTGCTTAACCCAGCTATGTCGTTTTCCAGCCATCCGAGGACAAAGTATCACTTGTACAGAGGATTGTTTGAAAAATCGGCGAGTTTCCTCATCATGGGTTTGCATGAAACCATCCTGCAACAATCAACATATGTTCTCAGAAGAGTATGATAATAAATCCTTCAAAACCAACGTATATAAAACTGAAAGACCTTGATAACAAATTGCAAACTCTTAGCCCTATGTGATTCTTCTGCTTTCCAATAAAGGTGGCTTGTATTACATGCATATTCTAAAAGTTGAGATGAAACGATGGTAGAATATGTCCATCTGGTAAAAGAGAGTTTCTGACAGATCTTTCTTCTTGATTGGTCATCAAGACTTCAAAGATCTACAACTTTTCTCCACCTCATTATTGAAGCTCGTAAACTCATAAATTAGGGAATACAAAACAATTAATAGTATTCTTTTTGGAGGTAGGTTCTAGGATACGTGGTATTTTGGCAGAATAAATCTATAGTTTAAAACATAAATTAGTTTACCATAAAAGAAGTTCAAGTTCCAAAAAGATGAAAAAAGAACTAGGAAAAGAAAGAATCAAGACTCCAACATTTCAAATCCAAAGTAAGGATGTTTTCACTCAATTACTTAGAGCATTCTCGCCCTGTCCTATACTTAATATAAAGGAATTTTGGAAAAGGCAACTATGATAAGCAGGCAATGTAAAAGAAATAGACAGCAGGGAAAGCAACTTACAGTTTTATATCCCAAAATGCTCCTAGAAGTGGGATCGTCCCAAACAAGAAGCAAAACTCTCACTCCCTCCTGGGACTTTGACCTCAGGAGATCTCCAAGGGTACACTCTGTCCCATAGCCAGTATCTCGAACTAGTTTCACTTTGTGCCACACCGACCACCCAGTTATATAAATTAACCTGCGAGCCTGACGTACAGCATCAAAGATGTCATGCCAACACTTCCCATGTACATAGTACATACCATTATCAAGCATCAAATTTGGAAGGTGTCCATCTGGAACATGGGCATCTTGGTACAGAGTGACAGCTCCACCCTTTCTGAGGGGGAAATATGTATCAGGAACCCCCTGGTAATCAGGGCCAGCTCCCACTCCATGATGATAAGTGCTAAGCCTGTCCATTGGGGTATATTGAATAGAAATAGTTAGAGCAGCTCCAGGCTTACATGGCTTCCCACCAAGTAGGATTGGGAAGGTTCCCTCAACTACAGACCCTGCATATATTTGTTCTGCAGGAATTGTTACAGTTCCTATTAGCTGCGAACCAACAACATCACTGTCTTTAACGACAAAAACTACTTCAGCAGCATAATGTGCAACGGGAACATAGAAATGCTGCCTCCATTCAGGATTTTCATTGTTGCTTATAACAAAAGTCCTCCCAATTACTGCATTTGCTACATAGATCGAAACATAAGGATCACTAGTGATCTTATGACTCACATGTCCTTCAACTTTGTTGCTCATATTCCCAGGTAATTTTGCAAACATATCCCCCAAGGTCTTGTGAAACATGTCCATATTTGGAAGATTTTTGGCCTCATTAACCCATATTTCTAAGTTTCCATGCAACAGCAAAACCTTCAATGATGCTTTACTGTGCAATGGAACAATCTGCAAGTTCTGACTATGTTGAGACCCACCAAATGAGCTTGAATGGGAAAATGAAGGTTGGTTGGATGAAGCCATTTGATATGAATTCCCCGTATCGAAACTAGAAAATGATGAATTAGGAAAGCCATAAAATCGGTCACGCCGATCATATCTTATAATTTGAGGTGAATGCGACAATAATGAAACTGAAGGCTGTGCAGGCACTGAAGGTGATGCAGGAGAAGTAGGTTGATGATCAGACAAATGTACATTACCCAAAAGGTCATCCAGAGGCGGGTATGCATAAGAGACAGGCGATGAGGAATCAGTGCCATTATAGTGGCCAGAGAAGCTATTTGCTCGTGAAGGGGGTGGTGGGTATTGACTTTCTGGGGGAGGGTATGTACCAGGTTCTTCATTCTTGTAATTTGAGGTGAATCGATCATATCTTGAAATTTGAGGTGAATGCGACAATAATGAAACTGAAGGCTGCGCAGGTGCAGGAGGTGATGCAGGAGCAGTTGGTTGATGATCAGACAAATGTACATTACACAAAGGGCTATCCAAAGGCGGGTATGCAGAGGAGACAGGCGAAACAGAATCAGGGCTATCATAGTGGCCAGAGAAGCTATTTACTCGTGAAGGGGGTGGTGGGTATTGACTTTCTGAGGGAGGGTATGTACTAGATTCTTCATTCTTGTAATTTGAGGTGAATCGATCATATCTTGAAATTTGAGGTGAATGCGACAATAATGAAACTGAAGGCTGCGCAGGTGCAGGAGGTGATGCAGGAGCAGTTGGTTGATGATCAGACAAATGTACATTACACAAAGGGCTATCCAAAGGCGGGTATGCAGAGGAGACAGGCGAAACAGAATCAGGGCTATCATAGTGGCCAGAGAAGCTATTTACTCGTGAAGGGGGTGGTGGGTATTGACTTTCTGGGGGAGGGTATGTACTAGATTCTTCATTCTTGTAATTTGAGGTGAATCGATCATATCTTGAAATTTGAGGTGAATGCGACAATAATGAAACTGAAGGCTGCGCAGGTGCAGGAGGTGATGCAGGAGCAGTTGGTTGATGATCAGACAAATGTACATTACACAAAGGGCTATCCAAAGGCGGGTATGCAGAGGAGACAGGCGAAACAGAATCAGGGCTATCATAGTGGCCAGAGAAGCTATTTACTCGTGAAGGGGGTGGTGGGTATTGACTTTCTGAGGGAGGGTATGTACTAGATTCTTCATTCTTGTAATTTGAGGTGAATCGATCATATCTTGAAATTTGAGGTGAATGCGACAATAATGAAACTGAAGGCTGCGCAGGTGCAGGAGGTGATGCAGGAGCAGTTGGTTGATGATCAGACAAATGTATATTACACAAAGGGTCATCCAAAGGCGGGTATGCAGAAGAGCCAGGCGATACCGAATCAGTGCTATCATAGTGGCCAGAGGAGTTATTTACTCGCGAAGGGGGTGGTGGGTATTGAGTTTCTGGGGGAGGGTATGTACTAGATTCTTCATACCGATATGGGGATGTACCAGGTTGGAAATTGTTATGATATTGAATGGATGGCCTGGCACTATCATTAGTATAAGAGGCGTCACCGTAAGAATATGGGGAAGGTACAGGCCCAGAATGTGGAGGTGGATGTTGAAAATACTCTACTTGGGCAGAATGAGATGGGGGTGGGGGATATGCAAATACAGAGGCATGTGAAGGATCATACGGGTAAGGGTACGGAGGACGAGCATATGGATCTGAATTTGGATGCGTATAATGAGGAGGAGGTGGATGTTGAGGAGGAGGTGGATATTGAGGAGGCGGTGGGTATTGAGGAGGAACTGGACGAGGGTATGCATATGGATGGTGGTATGGATATGAAGGGGAAGAACCGTAATTGTCCATAACGAGAGCTACAAGTTCGAGAAGAATACAGAGAAGTCTCAATTACGGTTGGTTCGGGAAGAACAATGTCATAACTAAATTAATAAGATCGACAGTATGTAGCCAAATCAAACACACAAAAATTCTTCCAGTTGAATGGAACCCAGAAAAAGAAATGAAAATTACAGAATAGACGAATTGGGTTACGATCTTAATCGCGGAATCAAAATTGACAAAAGGACAGGGAGAAAGAAAACGTTCACCACAAATTCGATCCTGAAATCGCCAAGCGACAACCTGAAAGGGAAAAGAAAAACAATCTGAAAAGAGAACGTTCCTCAAAGAAAAACGGCGCGCGGTGGAAAAATTACCTGTTCAAGAGATTGATTCGGTAGGAGAAATGGACTGAATCAGCTTCGTTGAAACTTGGAAACAGGAGGAAGAAAAATTCAGGAAGAATTATTTGGATCTGGGATTCCAAATAATACCATCAATTAACTTTTCCCTTCATTTTCCTCCATCTGATTCTAAAGCGCGCGCGCGCGAGAAATAGTTACCAGTGAAACCAAGTGAGAAATGATTTAGGTTAAAATGATTGATTTCAATTGTATTCCAACCTTCAAAACTTTCGTTCTAAGTTTTAAACTTAAAAAGTTTGTTCCAAAAACAACAACCTATGACGCTTCTCTCTTAAATTTGTACAGAATTTTTTTTGGAAAAAAATTAAGGATGTGAAATTAAAAAGAGGAATAAGATAATTGAACCATTTCTTATATAAATCAATATATTTTTTATAATTTAACTTGACATTTTATTAGTCACACCTCACTCACTTGGAAGTGATTTTGGCTATTCTGCATCACCTATAGCTTCGTCAAACAGCGTGAATCACTACATCTGGCCACATCACAATTGAGTTGTGCTCGTTGCTTCAGGATTTCTTAGAGTTTCATCTTCGTAGTTGCATCTTCCGTCGTTGTTCTATCATTTATCTTCTTTGACTTCAGTCATCTTATTAAATTTTTTAAAAAAGAGAACTTTTTTGTGATGTCTCTAGTATAGAGGCCAAAAGGAAAGAACAACCGTCATTATTTTTGAAAATAAAATAAAATTTAAGCGTTATATTTTTAAAAAATGAAGGGACTATTCACATGAAAATATATATATATATATATATAAAGGGGAACTTTGTAGAGACCGTTGGGGGAAGTGAGGCTTTTTGTTGTTTATTATGTTTTAAATTGCAAACTTATCCTTTTGACACAAAATACAAAAATACATTCGAATGTTTCGAAAATATTTTAAGGGCTCCAAGTTAGGATGAGCCATATTTTAAGTGCACCTCTTTTACTCTACATCTTCCTCTTGGTCCACATTTATTGAATCCTTAAATGTTGGTTTTTTTTAAAGAGAAAAAACTTAATTTAGATTGTTGCTTACTTTAAAAAGAAAAAAAAAACATCCATAATCAAAATCAGAACAATTAATAATTAAATTGGTCATGAGACATCAATGATTGAGATATGAGCTCAAACCAGCTAAACAATAATTGAGTATATGATATCAATGCGTTATATAACATCAATGATTGAGATATCCAACCATTAAGATGAGTCATGTGATATAGATGATTGGTGTAGGCTCGTATGAACTCAATCGTTGAGATATGCTCGAAGAAACCAAATGAAATTGATGTATGAGCTATGATGTACGATGATGTATGAGCTATGATGATGTATGATAACATATGTGTGTTTTATGACGATGGATGATGTACTTGATGACTTTATAATGAATATAATGTCTTGCATGACGTTTACCCTAATATGATGATGTTTTTCATATTAAGCATGTTGTATGATGATGAATTCCATATTGCATCAGGTCGATAAATCGACGTAGGACACAACCCTAAGAGTATGAATACTTTCCCTAGAGATGATGAGTGCGACTCGCACAATATGATGATGAGGGTGATTATGGTGAGCATGACACCAGAGATTTCGCTGACCTCCGGACGTTGTTACAAACAACTAGCTTGACCAGAGAGGGTCCAGGGGGTGTGCGAGCACTTGGAAATTCAAACTCTCATGTGTGGGTCGTGTGTAAGAAAGTGCTACACATCCATAGTAGTCTGGACTAGAGGCCACCCCTAGTATAAAATGAGATAGAGATAGGTCCCTAGAGCATATTTGCATGTGATTGCATTTAGCATGGCCATTATACTAGAGTTACTTACTGAGTATTCTTTGAAATACTCAAGCCGTGTGCCACATTATTTTTCAGATAAAGGCAAGGTGCCCACGTACAGATGACAGCAATATCGCGATCAGGTATGTAAATCCCTAGTTATGTTAAAATAGGTCTGCTTTCCATTTCATTAGTTTAAATTGTTTTGTATTTATTTTTATTTCTTTAAAATTTTCAGTATTTGGTATGTAAAACCATGACGGTTTTCAAGAGATAGAAGATGTTTTTAAATGTTTTTGACTTCCGCATTGTAGCAGACTAGAGTTGTTACCAAAAAGAAAATCAATTAAAACATGGTTTATTCATGGAGATAATTACAAGCCCATCATCTCATACTTCACCAATTACTTATTATTTTGCAAACCCACATCCTTCAACATAATCCTTCATAATTCGTGAGATCTCCAAAAATCAAACTTTGGTTAAGCTTTTTCTAACCAAATCGATACACATGACGAATCTTATAAACGTGTATGAATTTGGTTAAAATAAAATAACATTATTTTTTTAATTTTTTTTATTTAGGATATATTGTTGTAGTATGAACAGGAAGAAGAAGAAGTAAAAGGAGAAGAAGGGTTGTGGGGGGGTTATTGTTGTAATTAATCGGTGGAGAGTGTTGTTTGGAAGAGCCAATTGGAGAAGGCCTCTAGGGTTTTATCATCGGCTCTGTAATGTTTCTGAGAAAATTCAAGCAGAGTTGGCCATCTGAAATCCGGGAAAATTCTTGGGTTTTTCTCGTCAACCAAACAGCTGGGTGGACTCACCACTTTGTCTTCGTTTGGACACAGAAAAAAGGCCAAAGATTTCCTCACGCTTTCTTCATTCACCACTGCTCTGTGCAGGCAACTCTTGTACATTCCATTGGATAGCGCCTGATAAATTATCATACACATTTTATTAAACTTAGAACCTTAGAAATTGAAGTGTGTGGGAATGGGTTGTACTTACCGTGAAAGTGTCGCCAATGTTGACGACGAAAGCTTGGGGATTCGGGGGAATGGAGTGCCATTGTTGGTCGACGAAAACTTGGAGGCCATGGACATGATCTTGATGAAGGATGGTCAAGGAAGTTGGGTCACAGTGAGGCCCAGTTCCAAGAGTTTGATCTGGGGTTTGGCATGGTGGGTAGTAGTTTAATCTCATAATCGACTCGTTTTCTTCAAAGAAGTTTCTGAAATACTCTCTTCCAACGCCTAAACTCATCCCCAAAAGCTCCATTATTTTCAATGATACCTTGCTCATGGCGTCGCAGTATTGTTGGTACAACTTCCTGGGGGAATGAACAATAATAAACAATAATAAACAATAATAAACAATAATAAACAATAATGCATCATATGATGTTGTTGTGTTGTGTTGTGCTGTGCTGCGTTGTGTTAATAATTGTTACCCGCTGCTTCTCAATTCTTCTCCCAAAGCACTAACAAAGTAATCTTCAACAAGAGTGGAGGAATGAGCGTGAGCAGAGTATCTGAAGGACAGAGTTTCCTTCCATGGAAGCTTACACGAGAATCTCCCTATGAAACTGTTGGCATACCCACACAGCTCGCCCACCTTCCGCCCCGCTCGCTGCTTCTCCTCAAGCTTCATCCCAAAGAACAAGTCCATGAATTCGTGGGCCTTCGATATTAGCTCCACATCCACGCCATGGTTAACCACGACAAAGAAACCATGCTTCCGACAAACCTATTAACAACAACGTACATTAACATTAGATGGTAAGATATTGTCCACTTTGAGCATAGACTTTATTTTGGGATAGATCTGTATTTTGTATTACTTATATGATGACGTGAGACTTACTCCCAACCATTTTCAACATGTTGTAACCATTTTAAATTTAGATATAGTTTAAGAAACCTGATTGAGGAGACGACATGTGTCAGAAAGAACAACTGGGTCGTCGGAGATTGAGCTCTTCAAGTCGATAGGAGGCACGTGAAGCTCGGGCGAGTCGAGGGTTGGCCTCTCATGGTCCGGCCAGATGAACTGAGACGGGATTTTGGAGAGAGAAGAATCATCCGAGAGAGAAGAGAAAGTTGGCATGTTGGTTGGCTTTGGTTTATGCTATTTTGGAGAAGAAGAGTGGAGAATTTAGTATTAATAGAGAAAAAAGGGAAAAGCCAAAGAGGGTTTAGGCATTGGAGAAGTCGAGAAGTGGAATGGAATCTCTCATTGTTGAACAAACTGTTGCGTCATTTCTATATTTCATGTCGTGTTTGTTGGTTGCATGTAATTAATAAACCATACTGTACGAGCTAGTCTTATAGTTTGTCGCCTATTTCTTCCATTATTCTTATTCTATACGCATCATTTTCTTTATATAATTTCATGTTAAAACAAAAACAAAAACATATATCTATATATAATTTTCATTTTCAATTGTTTGTTTGTGACTCATGATGTAGCCATCTAGATTTAAACCTTTACGTTATATATAAAATCATCAATCAATCAATCTATGAATTTATTAACCATGGTTATGATTCTGCCAACTTGTTGCATAGGCTTTATAGTTTCATCTCAATATTTATAGTATTTTCTAAATATGGAACAAATGTGTTCTATCTCAATAGGTATACCCAATTCACAAACTCAACTCATCTATCTTTCAAATAGTATCTTTCAAATGGTGATATTCCCAACCATTCAATTCACAAAGTTTTTATCAGAAAAAGGAAAAGAAAATCAATAAACCATTTACAATTTAAGAAATCAGGCATGGAACACACCCATTAGACTAGACTAGAGGGGTAATATAAAGAAGAAACAGAAAAAGAAAAAAAAAAAAAAAAAAAAAGCTTTTTGGTGAATAAGGGTTTTTATTTTATTTTTTTATTTATGCCAATTAATGCCCCCACCCAATCAGCTAAGATTCTAATTTGATAAATCACACTATTAATATATATTTTTTTGCTTAGAAAAAGATAAAAGGTAAGTTGAATAAAAGATCAGAATTAAGAAGAAACCCGTAAAAAGAGAGTTTTATTTTGGCTCTTACACTTTTCAAAGGTCCATTTTTCAGTTATTGAACTTTAAAAAAGAATCACTTTTGTCCTTTCCTTTTTCGCGGACAAATTGATATTGTGACACGAAGAATATATATTAATCAAGTTAGTAACAACAATATGTAAATGTACATGTTAAAAGTTGAAAGACTAAAATAGAAAAACTTAACTAAAAAACCTAGAGTGATTTTGATATGAATTAAACATGGTGGATCTTTTTCTGATATTTGGAGAGAAAATGTACATAAACATGAAATGTTCTATTTTTGAGCCTGAGGGACAACCTTATCAAGTGGAACTATCAATATGCACTAGTTGTCAAGGAATTACAACATAAGATTAGAGTGTTCCATCCCACATGCAGTGGTGGAGAATTTCGGAATCCCAATTCACCCATGAAAAGCCAAAAAGCTACCTCCTAACTTGGCTTCTTTTGGGACACCCATCCCATCTTGTATGAGGTTGAACCTAGAAAACCTCTCTCACTTCTCTCCATTCTTTACCCTTTGTTGCAAGAATCACTACTCTCATCCACCTTGTTCAAAATTAATTGGAGCAACAAGCACCAAACCACCACTTTCGCTTATCAATATCATGCCAAATCCTTGTTGACTTTCCCTGGATTTCTCAACATATTACAAACTTTTAACTTTTTTTTTTTTTTTTTTTTTCTAAATAAAGCAAAGCATACAACTTATACCATTTCTCACCTGGTCGCGTAAATTTTCATGGGCCTACTCGATAAACTCCATAAATTTCACATCTCAATTGGTCAAGTAAAATCTGATACATCAACTAAATGGGGTATGAAGAATATATCACACGAATTCTGTGCTTAATAACTAATGAGTAATGAGGCAATGCTTAAGATGTGACTAAAAGTTAAGATTTGTCTATCAACTAATTGCATATAAACAAAGCAATATTACATAAAAGGGGGGTTCCTTTGGAAATTAAATATGGAAAAGGTAGAGCAACTACGTAGAAAGTAGAGGCTTTAAGAACCCATTAATCAGTGGATTCTGGCACCTCTAAACAATAACAAAACTGAATGGAGTTGATTAGTCATGTCTTAAGATAAGATAGTGAAGGGCTAATCACCTCATAAGTGGCGTGACGAGGTCAATTCAGGGTACCTTTCACAACAAATCTACATCTTCCATTGCATTTTGTTGCTAAAATGACTTGACTGATACCTTTAATGAAAAGCATATCGACTTAAAAGCAGAAATAAATCTGTCATTCAACGGGGATTTACAGACTAAACAAATGAGAAAGATTACGATAAGCACATTCCAAAATCAACGACCAGTCCACCTGTGAAGCCAACAGAATCTCGACAGACTTAAAGTTAATCAAACCAGACTTTTCCAGATGAACCAGAAGAAAATGAATCTTTACATTAAACATAGAGAGAAATAGCATTCAAATCTACAACTGAAGAAACTAATGCAACCACAATCAGTCAAATGTAACCATTCATTAATCTGTAAGAACTTTTAGTTTTCTTCCCTTGACGGGGGAATCTTCTCTACAATTCTCAACTTGTATTGCAGATAGCCTAAGTCTCTGTTCACATTACTGTAGTTCTACTCCAAGATTAACTGCCATACTAGAGGTTAATTAATAACCTCCATGAATGAAACAAACATTAGAAGACAGAACATGGGGAGAGCAAATTGATTCAAGAAAATTGATGTAAGCTATTGTTTGTAGTAGTACAAAAGTTGATGATTTTAAGTTAACTGAAGAAACTAATGGAATTTGAGCAATATCGCTCTGTCGGTGCCAAAGCATCTAGTCATCCACTTGGCCCAAGAAAAGGTTATAGCGCATCAACTTCTGAATCTTTAACTTGCACCATGGATATTAAGAAGCAGATCGTCTGTTGTCCAAAATTACAGCCAATTGGCATAGACTTCCTAATGCAATTCAAACTTGGCTAACAGCAAAATATAATTAATGGATTTACATGTTAACAAGGGAATGAGTATCATATCTTGTATGGGAATGAATGGAATGAATTATAAAGGGAGAAAGAGGGAAGCGAGGCATAGCAAAACATGTTAAAGAGATCCCCCTGCCCCCCAATCTAATGTGGGAACCAACCAGTGTGTTTCAACTAGATATAGCGGCAACTCTCAAGTAGAAGAGATTGAGATCCCTCGTTTGATATCTAAGAGTGGTTTAAAACCAGACTCATTCATTTAACTTGCATTGGCGAAGGTAAGGATGATTGTACTTGATATACTTGCTCCAATAACCACGATACTTTGTCATAGCCAATTCCAGCCAAGGCTTCATGTTTCCGTTGTAGTGTACAACTGCAGCATTCTCTATCTCAGACCGGTCGATGCTTGGATTGTAACCCAAACCAAGCACATGCCACGACTTATCAAGTGGATGTGTCAGTCCATAAAAAGTAATCAAACCCGGAGGAAGTGTTCCTAGCTTCCAGAGTAACCTTTCTTCATTCTGGCACCATAAGCAAGGGAACATTAACAACTGAATCAGTTTGATGAGGAAATATACCTGAAGTAAGATTTGATCAAACATTGACAGAAAAACTCAATAGATGGATATTGAAACTGACCAAGTTCTGCCACTTATGATATATGCCAGTAATGTCTCGTTTTTTCCATTCCTTCAAGTCAAACATATTCATCCCGTAGGCCCATCCACATGCATTGGGATCAAATTTTCTTGCAATATGAGGATTGGAGAAGTTAAGATATTTGTCAAAACGGTGAAAGCTCTCACCACAGGTTTCAACTGCACCATTAACTTTGCCATGAAGATCCACATCCCATAATCCAGTCAAATCTTTCTGAACAACAATGTCATCATCCAAAAACAGAATCTTTTCCAACTTGGGATATACCTGAGGAAGATAGAACCTCAGATGATTAAGCATAGAAAGATACTTTGGATTTCTGTACTTAAGATTCGATGCACCAGATGAAAGAGTGGTTGGATGTTCAGCCTTGAAATAGTATTCTCTCATTGCAGCAGATTCAAGTTGACGTAATACTGGACAGTAAGACGAATTTAGCCACCTGAATTCATCAACATTTTCAACATGGATTGTGGCTTTTCCAGGAGGATTTGACAGGAACCACATGTTCATGGCACCAAAATTAAGCTTATCTGTAACAAGATGAAATACATGTTTTGAAGGATCCTGCAATAAATGCAATAGTGCATAATTTGGTCAGGAACAACAGAAAGGAGAAGAAAAAAATACTTGCAAATACATGATTTGGTAGTATTACTTCACTCTTCACATCCAAGGAACGCAAAAAGGTAAAATCATCATATGGGTTGCAGTAACCTAAGAAGCACAGATACGAACACGAGACATGGATATGTTTGACAATTTTTTTTTTAAATCTAGGACACGAATGTTAGAAAACACTCATACAACTAAGAGAGGCAATAAACCAACATACTCATCATTCAACTTGTTACACAATACATATATAGACAAAATAGCCACACTAACCGCTATTAACTACCCTTAACCGCTAATTACTTCCCTCAACTGACATAATTTGAAATACAGACAGTAAATATAAATAAATTACGGTTAATACAAGATTAAATAAACTAACAACGGACACAACAAGAACACGTTTATTAAAATTTACATTTATTAAAATATATATCATTTTTATACAAGAAAGGAAATCCAAAGTCAATGAGTTCATGCATTTTATGCTTAAAAATTAGTTTAATGGATTTCGCCTTAAAATTTATTATTTGTCATATATGTGTCTATTTATATTTACCAGTGTTCGCAAACTATTGTCTAACACATCTATTAGTCTAACACATCTATTACAATAATAAGTGTCCAATACGTGTCCATCAAGTGTCATGAACATGCAAGCTAAACTAAAATGGTTTTGCTTCTTAGGCAGTAACAAAAACATTGAAATGAACGGAATAGATTTTTGGTTGAAATGCTTTTTTAATTCTTGAATTTTTATATGTTTTTCCATTGTGGTTCCTGGATTTAAAATACTCTATTTGAGCCATTTAATAACCAAATATTCAGTTTAGTAGGTAAGCTTTGCATTAGAAAAGATAGATTCATTTCAAAATCTAACATTTGACATGCTATATGCTTATGTGACTTCAAATATTTATTTATCCGACATCATAATTGAAAAAAATAAAGAAGTGTCCAAGGTTTCAATGCAAAGTTCAAACAAAAACTTGTTTGAAAGTTTATAAACCAAAACAGAAGAAGGCAACCAATCAAAGAAAAAAGTAGGATTTGAACCTAGATTTTTTTTTTTTTGTAATCGAAGTTTTTCCTTTTTTTTTTGAAAAATACAAGGACTAGAAATTCTCTTAAAAAAACTTGTGTGCTTGTATGGAATTTAGAACCTAATTCAAAAACTATGCTTATCAATACACATTCTTCTGAAATTAAACTCACAAAAAGCGTCATGTGCTAGAGCAGTCAAAATACCTTAGCATTCACAATGGTTGAGTTGACAACAACTGATGCAGCCAAGACATTGTCTGAAAAGAGGGCATAATGATAAAGAGTTGGAGTCTGGAAAATATCGTATTTTCAACAATTATATGTGTAAGATTCTTACTCTTGAGCGTTCCTTACAGATTCGTCGAAAAATATCGAGAAAAACAAAGGTTTTTCTGATACTGATTCGGGTGCCTCCAATGAGGGTCTTTTCATAAGGGTTGAGGTTGTGAAGTCTTATCGACACGAGTAAATGTTTTTTTTCTTCCATATTTTAAGCTTAGGACAATCCTTAGTGGATATGGTATGATACTAAAACGAGAAAATAATTTTTCAGATCGAGTTAACGACCCTGTCTCAAAGGGGAAAAAAGTTCCTATGTTAACACCTATGGAATTTGAGTGCAAAATGGCCCAGAAGCGAAAGTGAAAAAAATTCGTATTTTAACAATTTATATGTGTCAGATTCTTAAACTTGAGCGTTTCCTTACAGATTCGTCGAAAAACATCGAAAGAAACAAAGGTTTTTCACATAGTCATTCGGGTGCCTCCACGAGGGTCTTTTCGTAAGGGTTGAGGTTGTGAAGTCTTATCGACACGAGTAAATGTTTTTTTTCTTCCATATTTTAAGCTTAGGACAATCCTTAGTGGATATGGTATGATACTAAAACGAGAAAATAATTTTTCAGATCGAGTTAACGACCCTGTCTCAAAGGGGAAAAAAGTTCCTATGTTAACACCTATGGAATTTGAGTGCAAAATGGTCCGGAAGCGAAAGTGAAAAAAATTCGTATTTTCACCAACTATATGTGTAAGATTCTTAATTTTGAGCGTTCCTTACATATTCGTCGAAAAATATCGAGAGAAACAAAAGTTTTTCCGATACTGATTCGGGTGCCTCCATGAGGGTCTTTTCATAAGGGTTGAGGTTGTGAAGTCTTATCGACACGAGTAAATGTTTTTTTGCTTCCATATTTTAAGCTTAGGACAATCTTTAGTGGATATGGTATGATACTAAAACGAGAAAAATACTTTTCAGATCGAGTTAACGACCCTGTCTCAAAGGGGAAAAAAGTTCCTATGTTAACACCTATGGAATTTGAGTGCAAAATGGCCCGGAAGCGAAAGTGAAAAAAATTCGTATTTTCACCCATGATATGTGTAAGATTCTTAATCTTGAGCGTTCCTTACAGAGTCGTCGAAAAAGATCGAAGGAAACAAAGGTCTTTCAGATAGTGATTCGGGTGCCTCCGTGAGGGTCTTTTCATAAGGGTTGAGGTTGTGAAGTCTTATCGACACGAGTAAATGTTTTTTTGCTTCCATATTTTAAGCTTAGGACAATTCTTAGTGGATATGGTATGATACTAAAAGGAGACTACAACTTTTCAGTTCGAGTTAACGACCCTGTCTCAAAGGGGAAAAAAGTTCCAAGGTTAACACCTATGGAATTTGAGTGCAAAATGGCGAGGAAGCGAAAGTGAAAAAATATCGTATTTTCACCAATTATATGTGTAAGATTCTTAATCTTGAGCGTTCCTTACAGATTCGTCGAAAAATATGGAGAGAAACAAAGGTTTTTCCGATACTGATTCGGGTGCCTCCGTGAGGGTCTTTTCATAAGGGTTGAGGTTGTGAAGTCTTATCGACACGAGTAAATATTTTTTTTCTTCCATATTTTAAGCTTAGGACAATCCTTAGTGGATATGGTATGATACTAGAAGGAGAAAACAACTTTCAGATCGAGTTAACAACCTTGTCTCAAAGGGGAAAAAAGTTCCTATGTTAACACCTATGGAATTTGAGTGCAAAAGGGTCCGGAAGCGAAAGTGAAAAAAATTCGTATTTTCACCAACTATATGTGTAAGATTCTTAATCTTGAGCGTTCCTTACATATTCGTCGAAAAATATAGAGAGAAACAAAGGTTTTTCCGATACTGATTCGGGTGCCTCCATGAGGGTCTTTCCATAAAGGTTGAGGTTGTGAAGTCTTATCGACACGAGTAAATGTTTTTTTTCATCCATATTTTATACTTAGGACAATCCTTAGTGGATATGGTATGATACTAAAATGAGAAAACAACTTTTCAGATCGAGTTAACGACCCTGTCTCAAAGGGGAAAAAAGTTCATATGTTAACACCTATGGAATTTGAGTGCAGAACGGCCCGGAAGCGAAAGTGAAAAAAATTCGTATTTTCACCAATTATATGTGTAAGAATCTTAATCTTGAGCTTTCCTTATAGAGTCGTCGAAAAAAATCAAAGGAAACAAAGGTCTTTCAGATAGTGATTCGGGTGCCTCCGTGAGGGTCTTTTCATAAGGTTTGAGGTTGTGAAGTCTTATTGACACGAGTAAATGTTTTTTTTTCTTCCATATTTTAAACTTAGGACAATCCTTAGTGGATATGGTATGATACTAAAACGAGAAAACAACTTTTCAGATCAAGTTAACGACCCTTTCTCAAAGGGGAAAAAAGTTCCTATGTTAACACCTATGGAATTTGAGTGCAAAATGTCCCGGAAGCGAAAGTGAAAAAACATCGTATTTTCACCAATTATATGTGTAAGATTCTTAATTCTGAGCGTTTCTTACAGATTCGTCGAAAAAGATCGAAAGAAACAAAGGTCTTTCCGATACTGATTCGGGTGCCTCCATGAGGGTCTTTTCATAAGGGTTGAGGTTGTGAAGTATTATCGATACGAGTAAATGTTTTTTTGCTTCCATATTTTAAGCTTAGGACAATCCTTAGTGGATATGGTATGATACGAAAATGAGAAAACAACTTTTCAGATCGAGTTAACGACCCTGTCTCAAAGGGGAAAAAAGTTCCTATGTTAACACCTACGGAATTTGAGTGCAAAATGGCCCGGAAGCGAAAGTGAAAAAAATTCATATTTTAACCATTTATATGTGTTAGATTTTTAAACTTGAGCGTTTCCTTACAGATTCATCGAAAAACATCGAAAGAAACAAAGATTTTTCACATAGTGATTCGTTTGCCTCCACGAGTGTCTTTTTGTAAGGGTTGAGGTTGTGAAGTCTTTTCGACACGAGTAAATGTTTTTTTTCTTCCATATTTTAAGCTTAGGACAATCTTTAGTGGATATGGTACGATACTAAAATGAGAAAACAACTTTTCAGATCGAGTTAACGACCCTGTCTCAATGGGCAAAAAAAGTTCCTATGTTAACACCTATGGATTTTGAGTGCAAAATGGCCCGGAAGCGAAAGTGAAAAAAAGTCGTATTTTCACCATTTATATGTGTAAGACTCTTAAACTTGAGCGTTTCCTTACAGATTCGTCGAAAAACATCGAAAGAAACAAAGGTTTTTCACATAGTCATTCGGGTGCCTCCACGAGGGTCTTTTCGTAAGGGTTGAGGTTGTGAAGTCTTTTCGACACGAGTAAATGTTTTTTTTCTTCCATATTTTAAGCTTAGGACAATCTTTAGTGGATATGGTATGATACTAAAACGAGAAAACAACTTTTCAGATCGAGTTAACGACCCTGTCTCAATGGGCAAAAAAAGTTCCTATGTTAACACCTATGGATTTTGAGTGCAAAATGGCCCGGAAGCGAAAGTGAAAAAATGTCATATTTTCACCATTTATATGTGTAAGACTCTTAACCTTGAGCGTTTCCTTACAGATTCGTCGAAAAACATCGAAAAAAACAAAGGTTTTTCACATAGTCATTCGGGTGCCTCCATGAGGGTCTTTACGTAAGGGTTGAGGTTGTGAAGTCTTTTCGACACGAGTAAATGTTTTTTTTCTCCCATATTCTAAGCTTAGGACAATCTTTAGTGGATATGGTATGATACTAAAATGAGAAAACAACTTTTCAGATCGAGTTAACGACCCTGTCTCAAAGGGGAAAAAAGTTCCTATGTTAACACCTATGGAATTTGAGTGCATAATGGCTCGGAAGCGAAAGTGAAAAAAATTCGTATTTTAACCATTTATATGTGTAAGATTCCTAAACTTGAGCGTTTCCTTACAGATTCGTCGAAAAACATCGAAAGAAACAAAGATTTTTCACATAGTCATTCGTTTGCCTCCACGAGTGTCTTTTTGTAAGGGTTGAGGTTGTGAAGTCTTTTCGACACGAGTAAATGTTTTTTTTCTTCCATATTTCCAGCTTAGGACAATCTTTAGTGGATATGGTATGATACTAAAACGAGAAAACAACTTTTCAGATCGAGTTAAAGACCCTGTCTCAAAGGGGAAAAAAGTTCCTATGTTAACACCTATGGAATTTGAGTGCAAAATGGCCCGGAAGCGAAAGTGAAAAAAATTCATATTTTAACCATTTATATGTGTAAGATTCTTAATCTTGACCGTTCCTTATAGATTCGTCGAAAAATATCGAGAGAAACAAAGGTTTTTCAGATACTGATTCGAGTGCCTCCATGAGGGTCTTTTCATAAGGGTTGAGGTTGTGAAGTCTTATCGACACGAGTAAATGTTTTTTTTCTTCCATATTTTAAGCTTAGGACAATCTTTAGTGGATATGGTATGATACTAAAACGAGAAAACAACTTTTCAGATCGAGTTAACGACCCTGTCTCAATGGGCAAAAAAAGTTCCTATGTTAACACCTATGGATTTTGAGTGCAAAATGGCCCGGAAGCGAAAGTGAAAAAAATTCATATTTTAACCATTTATATGTGTAAGATTTCTAAACTTGAGTGTTTCCTTAGGGATTCGTCGAAAAACATCGAAAGAAACAAATGTTTTTTAGATAGTGATTCGGGTGCCTCCACGAGTGTCTTTTCGTAAGGGTTGAGGTTGTGAAGTCTTTTCGACCCGAGTAAATGTTTTTTTTCTTCCATATTTCAAGCTTAGGACAATCTTTGGTGAATATGGTATGATACTAAAACGAGAAAATAACTTTTCAGATCGAGTTAACGACCCTGTCTCAATGGGCAAAAAAAGTTCCTATGTTAACACCTATGGATTTTGAGTGCAAAATGGCCCGGAAGCGAAAGTGAAAAAAAGTCGTATTTTCACCATTTATATGTGTAAGACTCTTAAACTTGAGCGTTTCCTTACAGATTCGTCGAAAAACATCGAAAGA